GGATTACTGGGAAGGAGAACACTGGTAGATTGGAGTTTGGATTGGACATATGTCTTTTGTGACACCAGTCCTGGAACCTCTCTGACACACCTCGTACATCAAATATCAATAAATTAGGTTCGACTACATCATCATAGCAGATTTCCTATCTAAGCTGCCTGATGGTGTCTAGCTTTCATTGGGAGGACTTCTGTGAACACACCTTTAACAGCGACAACTTGACAACCAAACTTATTTCAGGGAAGTCTACTCGGATTAATTTAGTCTGGTAAAAGTCATATTCATAAAACTTGGAAAGCAGCTACTCTTTTTTCTACTTAAAAAACAAAATAAGATTCAAGATTCAAGATTCAAGAGTTTTATTGTCATATGCACAGCAAAACAGGTAGTTGTACTACACAATGAAATTCTTACTCTGTTCAATCCCCCGAAAAAGACGACACATTAAAAATAAATAAAACAAGCCAATAAGAGCAGCAGTAAACAAGTAAAAGCAACAATAAAGTGTTTCAGTGTTATAAATAAAAGTGTCTGACGTCTGTCTTCTCTTTCCCATCTGCAGCTCTGTACTGACCACAACGTTCCCGCCTTCACCAAGTTCAAGGTGTTTGATGCCAAACGTGAGTTCAACCAGTCATGCAGCTGGTCAGAGCTGGTGCTCAGGGCCAGAAAACGTTTGAATAGGATCTCATGGTCAGGATGTAGCTTTAAACTTTGGCATCTGTTTTTTCTGTCCTTCCTGTTGCCGTCTTCATCATGTCCCCTCTTTCTCTCCTCATCGTCTTCCTCACTGCAGCCAACTCAAAGACTCTGTCTGGTCTGCTGGAGTTCGACAGTAAAGCTGAAGCTGTGGAGGCTTTGGCAGTCCTCAACCACCACCAGATCAGAATACCCAGTGAGTGCTCTCTGACTCTGACTCTGATCAAGTTAACAGTTAAGAGGCCAGAAGCAGTCAGATGGCAAATGGGCAAAGTATTCCAGCAGAAGTTTTATATGATGAGAACTTGACGGATGGACACGTCTTGTTCTGCTCACGCCGGCTTTCTCTCTCTCTTGCTCGACCACTCCCACGTTCTCCCTAAAGCTACGTAGCATAAAGCTACGTAGCATAAAGCTCTGTAGCGTACAGCTACGTGTCCACAGAGTGATTTTACCCCTGCAGTAAAGCCTCGCTTCTGAATACTTCCTGCTTTAAAGGCGTGCACTAGCGGGCCACCAGCTGGTCACATGACAGCCAGACACCAGTCCTGTAAAAGCGGCACAGCGACATGGCAGCTCGGCCACAAACGTTTGCTTTTATTACAAAAACCATTCAGTTAAAAAAGTCCATCCATCATCTCTACACCTTAACCCTCACTAAGGTCATGGGGGGCGGAGTCTATCCCAGCTGACTCAGGGTGAAGGCAGGTTCACCTGGACAGGTAACCAGTCTATCACAGGGCTACACTTAGAGACAGACAACCAAGCACACTCACATTCACACCTACGGACAATTTACAATCACCAATTAACCTCAGCATGTTTCTGGACTGTGGGAGGAAGCCGGAGAACCCGGAGAGAACCCACGCTGCACGGGGAGAACATGGAGACTCCACGCAGGAAGATCCCGGGTGTCCTCACCGGGACGCCAACCGGCGACCTTCCAGCTGTGAGGCTAACGGTGCTAACCACTGATCCACCTGCAGCCCTCAGTGAAAAGTATTTCTGAAAACATTTAAGGCAAGAAATAAGTCATGCAGTTGCTGAGTCTGTCCTCATTTGAGTTCAACAACTAGTTTAGCCATATTACAAAAGTTACGCGAGGCGGCCGACCTCTGCTCCCTGCTCCAAATGAGCAGAAATTAGAAGTCAAGTCTACTTTATGCAAATGAGCAGGTGGGCCACGGCTTGTTGCTGGAGCCGCCCGCAACAAGGAGGCGCTCCAGAACAGGACGCAGGGCGTTTGAGACACTCAGAGGCAGCCACACTACTGCAGAACTACGACCTCCTGCAACGAAACGAAGACCTGGAAACGTTAAAAATAAGACAAAAATGTAAACATGCAAGTTTATGTAAGAGGTAACACAAGCTTCTGTTAAACCGAAGCACAAACACGAGAAACAACACAAACCACAAAATACGATGACCTTGACAGTAGTGTTGTAGTCAAGACCACCTAAACCGAGACCAAGACATGGCCGAGACCACAGTGTATCGAGACCGAGACAAGACCAAGACTTTGAGGGGTTGACACGAGTCGAGACCGAGACCATGACAAAGCGAGACCGAGTCTAGACCGAGACCAAAACAAAGCAAGACCGAGTCAAGACCGAGTCTAGACCGAGACCGTACCAAATTGAACTTAACCATTTTATTCAACACTTAGTCAATGTAATTTTAAGGCAAGTGTAAGGTTGCCTGTAATACTCTTATCTGCAACTGCAAACAAACATTTCATACGGAATGTATGAAACAAACAGTCAGTACTACAATTTAATCTTAAATATTAAATGACCACACTAGTTAGTTTTCTTACTTCAACACTGGCATTACAATCATTGTCAGAAAGAGGGTAGGTGTGCATTTTTTTCTTTTAAGTACACCCAGTGTGGGAAAGATTGTGATTGAACAAGCCATAGAAGAGGAACTCACAGCGCTCAAAATTGTGTTGTACATTTATTTAGTTTAATTTATATTAAAGTTACACATTTATTCTGCAGTCGTGTGTTTTAATTCTAAGAATCGGCACTGTGAGTATTTTCTTCAGTTTTGTTGTAGTGTGATAGTTTTTGTAAAAGGATGTTTGTCATGGTAGTAAACACTCCATTGTAAGCATACCTATAACTATGTTTAATCATCTAAACCAGTGGTTCTCACAACTGGTTCTGTCAGGTCCCCCTTCAAAGGACAAAAATCTTGTGTGCCCCCCCTCACCTTAAATAGTCATGAAATGAGTCAGTTTAAATTTACTGAAACTAAATATCATGAGCAGTCAAACAGTTCAGCAGCAACAACCTGCTCAGTGATCAGTGACAGTAACGGGGGGAGGACGGCCTTCAGGTTTGTGATGGTAGTCTCATCAGTCATTGTTGACACCATATCTAGAGCAGAGGGCAGCAGGAGGTCCTCAGCTGCTGGATGTGGTTTCTTGCGGTCCTGTTCCAGGGCTCCAGACTAAGTGTTCCAGTGGTAGCATGGTGCTACCAGCTTTCTTCACTGGTCGTACCAGCTAATGATCTGGTCGCCCCACTCCCTTATTTTGGATCAGCACTGCCACAGCTATTAATGCACCATGCAGCTGATGAATAGTTGCTTTTGCATCACTTAGTTATGATGCAGTGATCTTCAGAGATACGACTAGACATTTGTAAAATGTTTTCATCTTAAAATATATTTATTTTGTCACCAATCCTCTTCTAATACCAGCCATTAGCTGGACAGGCTAAACAATTGCTGAAAGTGCCCATGGGTAGATTCTACATTTTACCGATGGTCCCTGAACGCCTCACATGCTGCTCCGGTAGATGCTAGCAGGTGCGCTGTGTTTTCCTTTTGACGTCAATTTACAGATCAGTTGTTCATGATTAGAAAAGCCAGACTTTATTACAGCAGAGTTTGCTGACATGTTTCCCAGGGAGCAGACTGGAGGGCCTGTGCAGAGGGGCGGGGTGACAGGCCACAGCCCGTAAAAAATAATCCAAATTAAAAATCTGTTAAACTATTGGCTACGTTCGAAGCGGGGAGTTTTGCATCCAATAACAACAAAGCTATTACTAAACAAATGAAACAGTTCAGAGGCAGCGTAGTCCTTGCAGCCGTGGTCTCGGCTGGACTCGCAGTAAAATCCCGAGTCCTCTGTGGCCGAGACCGAGACAATACCGAGTAAAAATGCAGTCGAGTCCAAGACAAGACCGAGATCTTCAAAAAGTGGTCTCGAGACCGATCTCGAGCACTACAACACTAC